GCAAAGATTCATTACAAAACATTATACTCGCTTCTTCTGTAGATGAGGCTGGATCATGAATGATTCGCGCAAACATAGATGCATTTATGTAGATCTGGGGCATATTCCGTTCAGAAACAAATGTAATCCACTGCGAGTTCAGCGGCTCAGATGTCGGGAGTAAATGAGGACTGCTATGTTCATTATTACATCCAACAACAGAAGGCCTCAATCGCTTAGGAGTCATTCTTGTCTACATCTGCTCCGGCGGTGAAACAATGGCGGACTGATGACAGCTCACTCAGGGCGGAGCTAAGGTAAGACGCCAGTCCAGTCTGTGCTGAAACGCTACTGTCAATCAAACTATCGTGGGAGGGGCCTGTCTGTGTGACATCACACAGACAGGCATCTGAGATCGGCTCGATTTGAGAAAGGGGGAAACATTTAACCAGATTTAAAAAAAATAAATAAAAAAAAAAACACTGGGTAAACTGGATTTTTATCATTATAGGGTGGTTGTGTACACACACTGCCAACACACATTTCAGTTCAAACAACTTGTAAAAGTGCATAGCATCCTATGACCCCTTTAACTAACATTAACTCAGATTAATAAATGTATTGTTCCATGTTCGTTTGTATACCATGCGCAAGGTTTACGTGCATAGTCCAAGTCATCTTCTCCGTTTTTAGTGTATTTCTGTGGCAGAATTACAGCACCACATACTGGTCTGGCATGTATACTACATCATTTTGTGTTGGTTTCGTGTGGACGCAGATATTTCTTGAGACGAGGAGAAAAAAAAATCGGATAGGGAAAGCTCTGGCTTTGTGTAGACGTAGTCTTAATTCATCCTTGCTGAATAAAAGTATTAATTTCTTTCAAAAACTGACCTTAAACTTTTGAATGATAGTCTAAGTTTTAAAATAAACATTAAATAACTAACATTAAACAAATCTTTTAGCTGACACTTTTATCCAAAGCGACTCCAAGTTCACTTAATACGCTATTCCCTCTGAGGTTAAAAGTCTTGCTCAAGGGCACAATGGTTAGATATGAGCTGAAAGTTGCAACTTTCCCATTATCAGCTCAAAACTTTACCCACTATGCTAAGCCTACATAATTGCACCAATAATAATAATACAAAATGAATTAGAAAACTGAAACAGATGGAAACAATGTAAATATTTAGCTTTTTTTATTTTTACATCAGTGCCTCTCATTCTCTCTTGCTGGATGCTTTAAACCACCTGTATGCAACAGCTCAAACAATTCACTAAACATAACGACATGTGAAATGCAACAAACATCAGAGTTAACAGGGCGAGAGCTTGTCAGAATAGAAATGCCATTTCCTGTTGGAGACTGACAGTCTGTGAGGTCAAGTCCACATGTTTGAAGTCTCAGCTCTCATCTGCCTCTAGATTGATGTTGTTTCCAAACTTGGCATATAACTGAACCTTCAAATCTCCAAGAAGCCCCTGTATGGACGACACGCGGCCCTCCAGAGCTTTGATCTCATCCTGCAGAGCTTCCTGTGGAGACCAGAATATAAGTATGGAAATGTTGAGCGCTACAACCAGGCTTCAAAACAAACACTCGGCAAGTACAAATCGGTTTAGCAAAGCAAAGAACGTTAGACGCCAGTTGGCCGGTAACTTGTTCAGGGATTGCAAAAATTAGATCAAAAATTCCAATAAAGGAAAAAAATATCCTTTAACATCTAACAACTCTGTATCTAGTCAGTTTTTTCTTGCTTGATGGTTTTGCGTTAGGTACTTGTATTCAATTGTAACTCGATTTGTGCTAATACTAGTCAAATCTGTATATTGAATAATATGCGTTAAATAACAGGGCAGCCCAGACAGAAACTACAAGAGTTAATGTTTAATAAAATGCTAGATAAAGTTACCAAAATACCAATATTAACCAGGGAAAAAACAAAACAAAACAAAAAAACCCCAATGAAGGACTTTTCATTATGAACAATCCTGAAATACAATGGGACTTTTATTTTGAAATGTCAATGCTTTACTATTATTAGCTACTTGTTCAGAAAAAAAGAGGGAGATAAAATATGCACTCTTTACAACCATCTACAACATAAAGAAAACATTATCATATTTCATCAACAGTCGATAATAATCAATCTACTGACATAATGTGCAGTTTTCATTGATTGCATACTTTGAAATATACAGTGCTTTTGAAGTTTAATAAACATATTAGGCCGTATGCCCAAATTTGAGACCTCTTAAAATGATTTAAGATATTTAAGACTTTTTAAATACCTGCAGGTAGGCATGGGCTGGTATGAGATTTTGATGGTATGATAACCTTAAGCAAAAATATCACGGTATCATGGTATTGTTGTTACAGCTCTAAAATGTGTTATTTTTAACTGACTGGGTAAAAAAAAAACACGTATGTTGTTTTTGAGCAACATACAGAATATTAGGGACAGTAGAATTACTGTCCCTAGTACAGTTATTTAATTTTTGTTATATAATTCATATACATATCATTTCATATAATTTAGTTATATAATTTCATATACATAATTTGATTTAATAATAACCCAATTTGAAGCAAAAACAGAATGTTCTGACTAGCTTTGTGAAATTATACTACATGCCTGAACGAAGCAAACAGCAGAAGCTCTGAATGAGATGCAGATTCACTCTCTGACAGCAGGAGGCGCTAATGGAACAGCAGATATAGTGTTTCCTTGCTTACCGCTGTAAACAAAGCAGCGCTGCACTGAAACACTGCTTTAATATGAACTATACAGAGACGAGATGAAAAGAAAATACCACGCAAACTTTTCTGAAGACAGTCAGTTCCCCTCAGAAACATTCATATAAACCCCCAAATCAATATTAAGGATTTTCTTCCAATAGTTTGTGCATCATGAACAGTGAGTGATCTGCCTGCTACAGTATTTTTCTCTGTGTGTCCATCTTCAGCATCTCTGGCCTGTGTTGACAGGCGTTTACAGACTTCATATTTTCACATAAATGACATTTTGGAAAGCGATTGCATTGCAACGCAGTTTGTGCAAGTCCAGAACAGAGACGAGTTTAGGGCTGCCACTAATGACTATTTTTATTTTGATTACTCTATCGACTAATTTATCGATTAATCGGTTAATCTAAACAATTAATTTCCCACCAAAAAAAATCTATTTTACTTAAGAATATTTTATTAACTATATTTTATTAAACCAAATGAAATCCAAATTTCTATGAAATCCTTTTTTTTTTTTTTTTGCAAAAAAAATCACTGAAATCACCAAATCAATGAAATAAAAGTTCAGTATTATAGTGTAAGAATGACAACATATCCACGTGTTCTAGTCTACTAATAATAAAACTATAATAAAAAACTCTTTTTAATTTATTATAGGAGAAAAATGTAAATGTGCAGTATTTCTGGAAAAAAAATAAATACATTTTTTTTTTATATAAAATCAATTAATTGGAGATGCTTTTGATTATTAAAAATGTAATGGAACCATTAAAATGGAATCCAGAAAATATAAAGATAAAACTGTAAAACTCAATTAATTAGACTTTTGATTAATACAATTTAATTTGACCATTAAAACAGAGTATAGAAAAAATTAAAATGGAACAAAACTGAATTTGGAAATCAAATGGATTTCATAGTGCCCTATAATTATAATACATTTTTTTGTGGTAACAAAAATAGATGTAAGGGGACAATAGCCTTTAAAATTACTTAAAATACATATATAACAGCAATGAGGCAATAATAATTAGTTCAAATAAAGTATCAAAAGCAAGAAATCATATGGTTTTATTGAACAAAATTTTAAATGCATAATATATTATAAACAATAGAGCTAATGTACATTACGCATTACACCAAAGGCCTGCAGGGGGCGCCAACGGCCTGATGATTATTTTTACACATTGCTGTGCGATCTAATCCTTGTTTAATATTGACCAAGCACCATTTCATTCAAATGTCCACTTAATCTTTAATATTTGGCCATTTCTTTACAACAGAAATGCTATAGCCACTGTAATTAAATGAATATGTGGACATCAAAACGTGTAAACACAGAGTGAGGGTTTGAGCTTTTATTTTGAAACCGCGATTTATTCTCCTGAGTTTGCGTAGATTTATAACTGATTTACCTTACAAATCTGATGAAATGGCGCATGTTGCGTTCCCAGATGAACGTTATAATAAACCCAAACTCATGCAGAGATGGCGTTTGAGACCCTCCACACATGTAAATGATAACAGTTCCTGTGGAACTACTGTGAACGGAGCCGCTGTGTGACGCATGTACTTAACCTACATGCATGTAAATAATTAAAGCGCATATACTGTATTAGAACGGCATTGCATATGATTTAATTAAATTGTAGCATTTGTGAATTCACAATTATGCTTAATTATGATTTTTAAATGGGTTTAATATATCATGCAGCCTTGGGAAACAGTCTAAAAATGTGTTTTATGGATTCTCGTCCGTGAAATGCGCCACTTCCATTTTGCCAGTTAGTCGACGCGAGCAAAATGAAGTCGAGGATTTAAAAAAAATCAAATAGTCAAATAAAATCGACGAATCACGACAGCCCTAGACGAGTTGCTTGCAATAAGACAAAAAACGTCCGGTTGCCGATCTAGTACACATATTATACGTCCTCCTGCAGTAACCTGAGGTTAAGTCACGTGCAAAAACACAACGATTTTAGTCGAATCAACTCTTGTGAGATTTGAACCTACAACCTTTCCAGCCCAGATCTTTAACCACTAGGCTACAAGTTTTTCCAGATTGAGGCAAGGCTCAGTAGGGCTCCCTAGCTCTGTGGGAGACACACAAACACACAGGGTTTGGTCCCTCACCTTCGCAGCCTCCAGCATTTCCTGCGTCTCTTCTTGAGAGTGACTGATGAACACGTCTCCGATCTGATACGGGATCAGCAGTGCATCGTCCTCACACATCATGAGGTCGTCACTGGCATCCTCCAGATTCTGTAAGGATTTCTGCATGAAAAAGGTTTGATCAGCATCCGCCTGAACAAAATGCAAACTAGAATGCATTTCAAACCATCCATTTACCTTTTTGGCCTCGATTTCATCTTTAAGTTCAGACATCCGATTTGTATTCCTGGCAAACTTGTTGATCTTTTGCTGGTCCTCAAATGTTACATTGACATCTTCAGCTGCCTGTCATGATTCCAGCAAGTTTTTTTTATTAAAATAATGCATTTATTCCAATATGAATGAATCCTTCTGCTCTCTATATTAAAATGCACATTAGAAGTTAAAAAAAAGTATATTTATGAGTAAAGGAATCTATAAACTCAATAAATAATGTTGTTCGTATACTGTGTCTGTAGACATACACAGTGCTTTAAAATATGAAGTTAGAGCAAATAAACACAGAATTATATTTAAATGTTGTGATATAAAAATAAAAAATAATAAAGTAATTTTCTTTGATGCACTGAATGTTGTTTGAATGTTAAAATCTGCACAGTTGGTTTGATTTACAATTGTTATATATATTTAAAAAATTCGGTATATAACACTTGAAGCTGAATATTATATATATATATATATATATCATTTTTTTTCATTGTGCATTTCAATTAATCTCAATCAAACTGCAGTTGGGTTATTTTGATTAGGTTAAAGAAATTACTAAAAATACAGCTAACTAACGCAATAAAAACATAACATAATAAAAAACACGATTTTTGAACATTTTTAAACGGAGTTCTGTTTTTGCAAATAAACTCTTCATATATAAAATAGGCATAAAGCTGTAATTTTATGAAATAAGCACACAGTGACGCTAGCAGATATTTACTTGCCCATAAGCAGAAGGAAAATGATTTACAGCTGAAAGATGAACTTGTATGTAAATAAAAATGAAAAGCAAATGCCAGAAAGTCATCACAATAATGTGGCGTTAGCCATTTAACGTTAGCTGCTCTCACAAGCAGTGAAAACAAACACTCTCCAGAGTCACTCTGCTCTCTCAATCCTTCACTGTTTTCGCTGTTTCAGAGCCACTAGCACGTTACTAAACAAGGGCTAAAATACGACGGGAATCTAGACAGAGAGCCGTTTATTTGAACACATACCACTCCTTTCTTCATGGTGGCTGCCATCTTGAAGAATGGGAAGCGGACTGCGTGCGCGCGGCGGAATGGAGCACGTGGGCATTCATGAGTTCGTCGCGAGCTGCTGTTGCCTTTTCAAAAACGTGCTACTTTTGTCAGATGGAGAATTAAATATATGGACTTTTTTTCCCCACATTTCTGGATTTCTCAGCAGCGGAAGTCGTCACAGTTAGGGTAACTTCAACAGCAGTGAATAGGGAGAGTAGACCTACCACAAATATATTTTTAGCATTCCCATTTGCTCAAATAGCAAAAGAAAAACTCCACGATAGTGTTTTCATGACTTTTACATAAGGGAAAAAATTGAGAGAGACTGATAACGGCAGTCAGAAGAGAGAACGATGTCAAATTTGCGTCCCTCTCATAGACGGTGCATTAGTATGGAGGACGAAACCTGCAAAAACAATAAATAAATAAATACACAAATAAATAAATAAAGGTGTGTATAAATACACCAATTCTTGTTTAAATACATATAGAAATAATTAAACGTGATTAAAGTAGGCAAATAAATAATATAAATTGCTGGGCAAATGGAAAATGTTTAAGGAAATGCTAAACTCATCCTATTTATTTTCCTTTGATCACTCATTTATTTCTGAATGTAGTTCCACATTTATTTTTCCTCTGCGCAACATGCTAATGAGAGGGTGTCAACCATGGACTTGGTCGGGGTCATGTCATAGCTGGGGGCGCGGCTTTCCCTCTGACAGGAAATGCATGGTAGGGATGGGCGATACCCCTTATTTTGTTTTCGATACGATACCGATATTTTTCAAGGCAGTATCGTCGATATCGATACCGATTCGATACTTCTGCACTAATCTTTTAAATTGTGAAATGTATGAAATTATTAAATTACTAAGAGTAAAATAGGTAATGAAAACCACTTAACTTTATGTTTAAAACGCATTTGAACCCGTTTAATCCCAAATTTTTCCCAGACATGAAAATATCCATATGGTGTAACGTTTCATTAGTAACGCTTTGAAATAAGAAATAATTTCTTTTCATTTTTTTGGAAAAGTGTGTGAAAAATTGTATTTTATGGCGCGCAGGCAAACGCTCAAGCGCGTCACACACGATCCGCCTACTCTTGCATAATTGACACCCTCTCATTAGCATGTTGCGCAGAGGGGAAAAAAAAGTGGAACAACATTCAGAAATAAATGAGTGATCAAAGGAAAATAGTTAGGATGAGTTTAGCATTTCCTTAAACATTTTCCATTTGCCCACCAATTTATATTACTTATTTGCCTACTTTCATCATATATATAATTATTTATTTATGTATTTAAACAAGAATATGTGTATTTATGTATACATTTATTTATTTATTTGTGTATTTATTTATTTATTTATTTATTTATTGTTTTTGCAGGTTTCGTCCTCCATAATATAATACAAAGTATAGTGTTGTAAATGTACATACATTTAAAATATAAATCAAAATATTTAAAAAAAAAAAAAAAAAAAACCTTGAGGATTTACGATAAAGATGACCGTTAAACGCTTCTTGCGACTACCTACGTTTTGCATTTCGGTTTTCTTGAAATTATCCACAGTTTCTTTGTGGGTAGGATTTTCAGAACACTTACTGACATCTTCTGGACAGTAGATTTATTTTCACATAGATTGAAGTTGAACCAGAAGCCAACTTTTTCTTTTGTCCCAGGTATTGATTTCCATTTTCCATTTTCCACCTGTGTCGATGTGGCCTTTTTAAAGAACCAGAAATAATAAATAAATAAGCATCTTAAAAATATGTCATATTTCACAACTAAATGTTATTGTAGGCCTACTTGTTTACTTTCTAAAAACCCACAGGGCCACAAGTGGCCATATGAAGAAAACCCCATAGGCCTACTTACATTCAGCTTTGTCAACTGACTTGTCTGGATAAACTCCATCTTTACTGTAGTTATTTTGGTTGTTCCTATTGTATTTTGTAGTCATTTTGAAATGCATTTGTGATTTATTATGTGCTTTTATCTGATGCATTTTCTTTTTCAATTCAATTGTATTGCTAAGTAGAAAAACTGAACCTCTTGACATCTCAAAATGTCTTCTTTTATGTTTTTAAGAAATGCACGACAGACAATGAAGACGGAATCTTCATTTTTGGGTGAACCATCTCTTTCAGCCACAGAATAGCCATGGAATCGAGTGTCCAATGTGCTTCTGGTAAGTCGTGCCACAGGACACGAGCTGTTGAATATTGAGTTAACATAATGACAGCGAACACAACATGACTGAACAAACTCGCTGTGGTTGCTAGTGCTAGTTTCTTAAACGTCCTCTTTGTAAACAGCGTTACACCCAAAGACAAATATTGGGATGATATGCAATTTCCTCGCTTTTTCTCAACATATATGATTGTTTTTAATAGCTGTCATTAATTTACATGTGTATATTTGATTATCGATGACAAATATTAATTCGATAAATGTGAAAACTTCTGTGCAGCCTTATATCTTAATGAAAACATGCTCCGTTTGGATGATTTAGTGGAATGCCTTTGAGGTTTTTCAAGGTTTTTCGCTGTTAGCATGTTGCAAGAATTCCTTTCATGGTGGCAGATCAAGTTGACAGTGACCACGAAGGAATTTGCTTTTCGCCCCCAGTGTGTACATTTACAATGTGACTCTGTATCCATGAGCGGCGCTTACATGACAAAATCTCACCCTCTGCTGATCTGCTCCTTTGTTCCTTGTCATGCTTTCTGTTGAATAGGAAAATGCAGCGTATATATTAGAGTGTTTGACATTCATTTAATAAGATATTAAAGAGTTTACAGTACGTTTTGGCAAAGCGAGAGGATTCCTCAGCTCAAATGACCATGTGTGAATTGAATTTAATGGGAATGGACTGAAATGACTGAAATGGCCTGACTGGGCCCGTGGGAGACAGTTGGCACGTGTTTCGACTGTATTTATGCATGTTGTGCCATGTAAAGAATTGTATTATGTTGAGAAAATATCGTAAAGGTCAAGTAGATTGATAATTTATGCTAAAACAATCTAGAAAAAGGGTGTGCAATATAAGTAGGGGTTCACAATGACACGTATTTAACATCAATTCATTTTCGTTTGAATTAATCAAGCTGTATTAGCGCTGAATAACTCATATAAAAAGTAAATGTCCTTTTTTTTGTTTTTGTATGTGTGTGAAAGCTCTGCATTCTGTGTTGTTTATGTGATAAAGTATTGTAACCTTGAGTGAACCTGCTGTAACGTAAGACAAATTCCAGACTCACTCTGACAATAAAGTGTATCGTATCGTATCGTATCGTATCAATTATGCTGTGATTACATCACATCACAATGCAGGAGAACCATCAACTTTATGTAAGCCTATACCTACTTTTGTTGTCTGTTTTTTTTTCTCTTTCAATGATAGTATTTTTTCATATCAAGGTTTGCATTGAAGTACTTTTTCTATATTATTATTCCTATATTTTTCAAACAGTCTAATAACGAGAGACTCATCATTGTTAATATTTCAAAATTAAGTCTGATGATTTTTTTTTTTACAATATACTGATTAATTAATCAAATGAATTGCAGTGCATCTCATATGTCAATATTTGCTTTAGAAGTCAAAATGTAGTTTCCATATTATTGAACATGAGCCACTGTAGTGTGCAGCAGTCTATTGTACAAATGCTTTGTATTTAGATGGTACTTTGCTTTAGGATTTATTTTACAATCTGGAGCCGATGATCAAAACCAGGGTTCATCATGATACCCAAACACATCAACAAAAATGTTTGATGATGAGCTTAAACTGATCAGTTTAACGGGCTGGAAAAGATCAAATAGTCTGGTTAATGAATCTTCAGTGAAGTCCAGAACAGGGTATTGTAGTTAAGCAAACTCAAACTAAAACCATTTCAAGAAAGAAAGATTGACTGAATTCAAATAAAATATAAAACAGCATGTTACTATTACTTGTCAACTCTACAAAAAAAAAACTACAAATTACAAAAACACCAAATAAAATAACTAAAGCTTTAATTAAAATGAAAATGGATATACGAAAAATAAAATATGACTCAAAATATGAATAAAAGCTACAATAATATCACATTGAAAATCTAGGATTTAAAATCTAATTTAAGCTTTAATGTAAACGATTTTTTGGATTTGTCCTACTTCAGTTAAAACACAAGATGCTCTTTGAAATATATCAAAATATGAGCATCTTTCTGACACTGATATTCATTTTCATTTACAAAACAGCAAAATTGTGAAATACTATTACAATAATAAAAATGTAATTTATTCCTGTGATGCAAAGCTGAATTTTCAGCATCATTACTCCAGTCTTCAGTGTCACATGATCCGTCATAAATCATACTAATATGCTGATTTGCTGCTCAAGAAACATTTCTGATCATTAACAATGTTGAAAACCATTGTGCTGCTTCATATTCTTTCAGGATACTTTGATTAATAGAAACTTCAAAAGAACACATTTTCACATCATAACTCCTACAATTAAGTGTTTTTTATGTTCCTTCCCATGTATTCTGCAGGTGAGCAATCATTAAATAAATAAAGGCTTAGGCTGGTAAAGCCTGATGTCATGTACTCTGTACTCAAGCTCTGGATGGGAGTCACACTGCGCAAATAAACTTTTGCTATATCCTCTACACGCATCCTGTTTGGGCTCAACCACACCTACAAAACAGGCTGTTCTCAGATCAGCCTGACGCTCTCTCCGGTTCAGTTCTTTGAGTGAAGCAATGGATGAGACGTCTGATGCCTTATCTTTGATGTACAGTATGTGATAATCATGTCACCTTTATTTAGGTGGAATAGCTCATCAGTGAGAAACAATAGGACGTGATCATGAGTTCATCAGTGCTAATAGGTTCATAGGCCAGGTTTTGTCTCACAAGTATCTTAAGGTAATAAGTTTTGAGCCCCACCCTCTCTTAGGACAGGTATATGTGTACACACGCGGGCTGACAGACAGCAGACTGCTGGAGATTACTTTAATCGAGCTTTGGAAACTGTACACTGACTCTAATTGTCAGTTTGGTGCACAAGACAGTGGAAAGGTAAATGCAAATATTTTTTTATTAATTTCAGTATTTTTATTAAACCAGTACACGCAATTGTGTGTTAGCTATAGTAATTATAAATAGTATTTAGTATTTATAATTATCAAGCTTGCATGGGATTGAACCTACAGCCTTTACAAAATCAGGTCATGAGGTACTCCACCCTGCAGCGATCTGCAGTGTTTCTAATTAGGACGTGTGATATGATTCAATGTAACAGACTTATGAAAAATGATTTGTGCATATTTTCATCATTTATATGTTTAATAACTATTTTCGATGTCAATGCTGATATTTAGTTGCTGACTTGAAGCGACCATGGGAAACGAGCATTCAACTCAGAAAAAACATCAGGTGATTTTTTTTCTTTTTTAAATTAGTTTATATTAACATAGCTTTATGCAACATCTATGTTTTTCAGTGAAATATACAAGAAAAATGTATAATTTATTTCCCAGCATTTAATTTTTTTCAGCATTTAGCAACATCATGAATACAGTTGTTAAAAGTACAAATATAATATTTAGTAATATTTTATAATATTTAGTTGTAGACGATAGTTTTCAATTTTATGTCAGCTATGTGTTTGTTTTGGTAGATATTTGTGTATATTCTCCAGTCAGAAAAGGCAGATTATAAATGATTATACATTATGCATTATAAATTCATATAAATTATAATAATTCCCATTTTCCAATTTAATTATGTGATTAAAACCTTTATCACATTAAACTCATGTGATAGCTTTATGTTTACTGAGACAGTTAAACCAGGGTTATTTTAATTAACTAAACTAAAACCATAAAGATCACAAAAAATTAAAAACAAAAAAATCTTAAACTTATTTTATGTTAGCTAGTTTCCAAAGCAACATTTTATTTAAGTTAATTTATTTTAATTTAATTTAATTTAATTGAAATAAAATTCCAAATTCAAAAATTCAAACTGAAACTAAATTAAGAAAAACTATACAGACATGTTTTAAAAAAAAAAAGACAAAAACATACAACAAAATTACCAAAACTTTAACTAAAATTAAAATGGAAAATACTAAAATATACACCATAATAGAATATCAATGAAACTAAAATAAGGTAAAAGAACAACAGATCATGAAACTAACTAATATCATTCACCAGGCAAATGCTGAGAAAAAAGTCCAAAATGGAGAGCTGAATGGACATGCAGTACCAGCTCCAGATGAAGCTGAACCTGGTATGTATCTGAAATACAGCACATTTCTGTTCATGTGACTAAATGTATCGTCCCTCGTAATTTCAACATAAGGATCTACAGGAGTTACTTAAAGTTAAACTGGCAGGCATTTACATTGTTTGGATTAACTCAGCAACTCAACCCACAATCAAGAACATGACTCAAAGCTCTGTATAAACTTTGGGTGTTGTAGTCACATGCATGGTGGATAAAGCAATGTTTAATTTGCATTTTGTGTGCATTGCTAGTTTATTGTTGCTAACACTTTCACAAAGCCTTTATAGAAGTGAAATGCAGTACATGTTCCATGCTCCTTGAATGCAAAATGTTAGATATGCATAGAATGCAGATGCATGCATTTGTTCATGCACATTTTATGAGAGAGTGAAAGCTGTACAATGCACATAGAAATAGGCCAGAAACCTACTTTATGCAAGCATGCAAACGTGTTGTGCTTTTGCATTATTTTGGCTGTAACCTCAAATGTCCTTTGAAATGTCAAGTGTGTATAAGAAGTGGGTGTGTATTATGATTTATGACTGGTCAAAATGATTGAAGGCAATAGATATTATTGTCCCTGTACACTGCATACATAATTTCTTTCATGTTTTTGGTCTAGAGACAAGCAAAAAAGAAGCAGTGGGGCAAAAGAGTGAAACCCCACCAGTGCCTGTCACAAATGAACCAAAACCACCAGAAAAAGAGGAGGTAGACAGCAGTAAAGCCAACGGACCCGCGCATGTGGAAACGACCCCTGAGCAAAAACCGACAGTCGCAACAGATGCAGAACCTCCCAAAAAAGCCCCAAAGCCCAGTGGAGATGAGGTGCCCAACTTCCTTGGTAAAATGTTCAAAAAGAAGAGCGAACCTGTGAAACCTGCAGCAGAAAACAACGATTCAGTTGACGCACTGGCCAAAGCGGTGGATCTGAATATCGACATGCAGACTGTAAGTAGAAGTTGCAAAAATGAAAATTTACTCTCCCTGGAGAAATTTAGCATTGCAACACTTACTCACCAATGGATCCTCTGCAGTGAATGGGTGCCGTCAGAAGGAGAGTCCAAACAGCTGATAAAAACATCAAAGTAATCCACACCACTCCAGTCCATCAGTTAACATCTTATGAAGTGAAAATCTGCTTGTTTGTAAGAAACAAATTCATCTAGACGTAAAACACGTAAAACATCATTTAAATGTTTTTAAATTGTTGCTCCTCTATCCATAATAATGCTTTCTCCAGTGAAAAATATTTATTTTCTGAATCAGGAGAGAAATATGCACAGATCGAACATAGTTTACAAGCCAAATCAGTCCAAAAAGTCTAAATATGTGGGTGGATTTTGACAGCGGGTGGAGAAAGCGTTATTATGGATTATGAACTCATATTTTGGCCAGAAGCAATGGTTTGAAGTTAAAAAGCCTGGATTTGGATTTGTTTCTTACAAAAATGCAGCTTTTGGCTTCACAAGATGTTCACTGATGGACTGGAGTGGTGTGGATTACTTGTAGATTATTGTGATGTTTTTATCAGCTGTTTGGACTCTCATTCTGACGGCACCCATTCACTGCAGAGGATCCATTGGTGAGCAAGTGATATAATGCTACATTTCTCCAAATCTGTTCTGGTGAAGGAACAAACTCATCTAAATCTTGGATGGCCTGAGAGTGAATACATTTTCAACAAATATTCATTTTTTTTTATTTTTTTATTTTTTTATTATTGAACTCTTTCCCCAGTCACTAGATTTCTCTGGTAGCCTCGTCTACAGTGAAACGTGGCTTTATTTTAAACATCAAATATTAGTAATTAGCTATAATTTGTCACATTGCACAGCATTTTTGCTATTAGTGTGGACAGAAACATTATTTGACATTGGAAAATGTATAATGTATAAAAGCTTGAAGTACATTCATCATAAACCAAGAATGCTTTAGTATGTTTTGCTGATGGTTATGGATACCTGAAGTTTTCTGCCGGGCATCTACCAGGTAACAACAAATCCAAGTAAATCGCAAAAAATGTATTGCACTCTGACTCTGACCAATTTCTCATTCCAAAAGGATAAAGTCTTCATTAATGCAGACCAAAAGGAGATTCTTGAGCAAGTCGCAGAGAAGATCAAATTGCAATTGGTTGACACCATTCCCACGCAACCCATAAGTTTGAGTTTTTTGACAAAGAATTCCTCAAATCCAGATTTGCATGCTACACAAGAACCAGTAGCTGTTGTGGAAGAACCAATAACTGAAGAGCCAGTTAAAAGAAAAGCCAGCGAGATACATATAGGATATCTGAAGTCTGAAGATGCAGAACCTAAGACTGAGGAGGATGACAAGGCCTTGAAAGAAGACAAAGAACTTATACAACTTGTTGAAAGCATAATATCGGATGAAAAGAAACAAGCATGTGAGAACGAACCAAATGGAACCAAACATATGAATGAGGAGATTGCACCTATTTCCAAAAACCTGACGAAAGTAGCTGATGAAGCAGTTGGTACCATTGAGGTCTTGTCTCATGTTGAGGAACCAGTCGTTGGAGCTGAAGAGCCATTGCTAGTTGCTGAAGAAATTGCAGATATTGTTGAGGAAATCATGCAGATCACCCAGGAACAAGAAAGCCTTGATGCAGAAGAGTCAGAAGAACTTCAAAGGAACAAGTTCAAGGAGACACTATTAACAACATCAGAGGAACCATTAACATCATCTGTGAAACCAGCACTGATTGCCAAAGAAGAAGCAGCTAATGGATTGGTGGCTGTAGATGAGGAAAGCTGGGAGATCATTGAGGAGCCAGTGAACATCTCCGGGCGTTTAGAAGAACCTGCACTCACTAAAAGTAAATGTAATTCAGCAGATTCTTCTCAATTGCTTTCCCAGCTGAGGTCCGTGTGCACTAAGGTTTTAGAAGATGCTTCATATAAGGCGTTCAGTGTCAATGTATGTGCTGCTGAAAGCACTGTTCACATCACGATTGAGCTTTGCCCGGATGAGCTCACATGTCTGAATAAGGTCAGTTACAATACCGACGAGAAAGCCACAGCATGGACGAACTCACCGCATGCCATTCAATCAAGATGCAAATGTACTAGCTCCTTTCCTCAAGATACTTGTCATCAATTAACAAAAAATTAACATCAACGATCAGATTTGTTCTTGAAGATGACATCGAAACGTACTACAATCAAAACCCATAAATGTGTTGTCTCTATTTACTGTACACTACCAGTCAAAAGTTTGAAATCATTCAGATTTACTTATGTTTTTGAAAGAAATCTCTTATTTTTAACCAAAAACACAGTGAAAACAGTAATATTGTGATACATTATTACAATTTAAAATAACTGTTTTGTGTTTGAATATATTTCATTCTAATATGCTAATTTGGTGCTTAATTGTCAATTATTATTGGTGCTCCATTATTAATAATGCATTATTATCAATGTTGAAAATGATTTTTGCTGCCTAATGTTTGTATGGAAACAAAAATACAAGATTTTTTGATGATTATAAAGTTCAATGAACAGCATTTATTTGAAATAAAAAAAAATCCTTGTAACATTATAAATGTCTTTAATGTCAACTTTGATCAATATTCTGTGGCCTTTCTAAATTTGTATTCATTATTATTCATATTATTTAAAATGTTACTTACCCCAAACTTTTGAATGGTATATATCAGGGTTCCTCAAATCTTGCCCTGGAGGGCCAATGCGCTGCAGAGTTTAGCTCCAACCCTGATCAAACTCACCTACCTGTGATTTTCTAATGATCCTGAAGACACCGATTAGCTTGCTCAGGTGTGTTTGATTAGGGTTAGAGCTAAACTCTGCAGGAAAGTGGATCTTGTGGGCCAGATTTGAGGATCCCTGGTATATATAAAACATATACACTCACTGGCTACTTTATTAGGTACACCTTGCTAGTACTGGGTTGGACCCCCTTTTGCCTTCAGAACTGCCTTAATTCTTTGTGGCATAGATTCAACAAGGTTTTGGAAACATTCCTCAGAGATTTTGGTCCATATTGACACGATAGCATCACGCAGTTGCTGCAGATTTGTCGGCTGCACATTCATGATGCAAATCTCCCGTTCCGCCACATCCCAAAGGTGCTCTATTGGATTGAGATCTGGTGACTGTGTAGGCCATTTGAGTAAAGTGAACTCATTGTCATGTTCAAGAAACCAGTCTGAGATGATTTGAGCTTTGTGACAGGGTGCATTATCCTGCTGGAAGTAGCCATCAGAAGATGGGTACACTGTAGTCATAAAGGGATGGACATGGTCAGCAACAATACTCAAGTAGGCTGTGGCATTTAAACCATGCTCAATTGGTACTAAGGGGCCCAAAGTGTGCCAAGAAAATATCCCCCACACCATTACACCACCACCACCAGCCTGAACCGTTGAGACAAGGCAGGATGGATCCATGCTTTCATGTTCTTTACGCCAAATTCTGACCCTA